GCAGAGTCTTCTGCAGAGCACAAGTTTTTAATTTTAAAGAAGTCTGACATCAATATTTCCTTTCACGAATTGTGCTTTTGGTGTTGTTTCTAAAAACTCATTGTCATATCCAAGGTCACCCAGATTTTCTCCTAAGTTACCTTCCAGAAGTTTTATAGTTTTACATTTAGCTCTAAGGTCCATTTGAATTCATTTTTGTGAATGGTGTAGGGAGTGTGTCTGGATTAATTTGTTTTCTTTTTGCACATGGACGTCCCCGGCTCCACTGTGGAAGAGGCTACCACTTCTCTGTTGAACTGTCTTTGCTCCTTTGGCAAAGGTCAGTTGACTATAATTGGGTGGGTCTATTTCTGGGCTCTTGATTCTGTTCTGTTGACCAATGGTATGTACCATTCAAAGTCCTCAGAGAGCCCTCCGTGTACATCGTCCCGGGCTTGTAGTGACGTGCCCCAGAGAGGCGGTGTGGAGCGTGCTTACTCCATCCTGTCCAGAGCCGAACTGGGGCCGATGCATTCTTTCTTAGTTTCACAGTTCTCTATGGTGGACATTGCTATACTTTCTCTGTGCGCCTCCAAACTCCCCACCATCACAAGCTCTGCCAGAGTGCACACCCTCCTGCCGGGCCCTTTGGGGCTGGCGTGGGAATTCTTTGTAAACTCAGGAGCAGAACTGCTGGGTTACTAGACGTGTGTATTCTGATTTGGCCTCGTAGGGTCAGACTGCTCTCCACAATGGCCCCACCAGTGTCTCTCTCCCAGAATGCACCAGGGCTCTTAGATCCACACATTCTCACCAACACCAGGCATCAACCAACTTTCTAATTCTTGTCGGTCAAAAAGGCATAAAGTGGTGTATCATTTTGTTTAATGTGCCTTTCTTGAATTATTAATGAGTTTCTGCATCTTTCCATATACCTGTCAGCTTTGAGGATCCTTCTTCTGTGAACCACCTGCTCATTTTCTGGACCTGTTTTTCTGTGGGATTGCTGCCTTGTCCTGATTGGTGTGCAGGAACCGTCTGTCTATACTAGATAATGGTTTTGGCCACCAAAAGTCTATCCTAGATAATAGTTTTAGCTCCTAGATAATAGTATCATTTTGTTTAATGTGCCTTTCTTGAATTATTAATGAGTTTCTGCATCTTTCCATATACCTGTCAGCTTTGAGGATCCTTCTTCTGTGAACCACCTGCTCATTTTCTGGACCTGTTTTTCTGTGGGATTGCTGCCTTGTCCTGATTGGTGTGCAGGAACCGTCTGTCTATACTAGATAATGGTTTTGGCCACCAAAAGTCTATCCTAGATAATAGTTTTAGCTCCTGGAAGTCTATTCTAGATAATGGTTTGGCTACTGAAAGTCTAGTCTAGGTAATGGTTTGGCTACTGAATGTCTATTCTAGATAATGGTTTTAGCTCCTGGAAGTCTATTCTAGATAATGGTTTGGCTACTGAAAGTCTAGCCTAGGTAATGGTTTGGCTACTGAATGTCTATTCTAGATAATGGTTTTAGCCACTGCAAGCTTCTTCATGCTTTTACCTGTTTCTTATCTTTAGCCACAAAGTCCTTCATTAAACGGAAATCCTAATATGGTGACACTAGACCTAGAATTTTGGTTCTGCGTTGTTGTGGATTGCCTTCTCTTTTTCTTCAGCCATAGTATTGTGTTCTTCATTTTCATTTTGATGTAATAAAACACATCGATTTTTGCTATATGGTTTGTGCTTCTGAGTCTGTTTGTGAGGCTTCACTATCCATAGGTCATAAAGATATTCTGTATTTTATTCTATTCACTTTGAAGCCTTTCCTTGCACATTTAGTTCTAGAGCCAACTTCTGTGTGGCACTGGACAGGGAAGCAGCTTAGTTTTTCTCCCTAACGAGAGCTGATTTCCAACATGGTCACTGAAGTAGTTCATCCCTGCTCTATTGATTTGTTCTGCCATCGTTTCTGTCTGTTGAGTTCCTGTAAGTGTGAACACAGTCTGTCCCCGAGGCTCTGCTACTCTGCTGGTGTGTTCTTAAGCCAAAACACCCTCTCCTTTTATCGTATTTATCCATTTATTTTGCCGGTACTTCTTTCTAAATTCACTACCCTGACTTTACAGTATGTCTTAAAATTTGGTGTGATCCTATCAGTCGTTGCTTAACGGATGTAAGGCTGTTTTGCTTCTCAGCGTTCACGATGGACGTAGCTTTTCCCGTTGCTCCTTCTACTGGTACCACGTCCACATGTCCACTGGAAGTGTTCCTGGGTCTTGGAATCTGCTTTGTCAGGTAAGATGCTGACACAGCTCTCTTGGTTCACCTGTGCTTTTCCCAGGCCATGGCTGTGTTTTCGGGTTTCTCCAGGCTGACCCGGGGCAGGGAGCCAGCAGCCTGGGCTGGGAGCCGCCTTGGCAACAGTGCCCGCTGTTGCGCTGATTCCACCCTCACGCTGGCAGGCGGATTGTGCCGGGTTCACAGTCCCGGGTGGACAGTTACAAATCTCACCCCACTCTCTGCTGCTTCCCCTCGTTGCTGCTGGTGTAACTGTCAGCACTCTGTGGGCTCTCTCCTACCTGTTTTCAAGATTTCTTCCTTGCGTGCTCTACATATGCATCTACTTGTGCATTTCTGCTTCTTTATCTGGCTTGATACGTGTTGTGCTTCCTACAGCTGTGGATTCATACCTTCCCCCAATTCTGGAGAATTTCTAGTAATTTCCTATCTAGCTTTCAGCTCATTAATTCTTTCTTCAACTATGTCTAATATGTTATCTTTTTTAGTCACTGAGATTTAAATATAATGATTGTATTTTTCCTATCTAAAAGTTCTAATTCTTTTTCAAATCTGCTTGGTCATTTTTGATCACTGCTTACCCTTGCTCATTTTCTGGGTCTGCTTTTTGCCTCTTTAGATATTTCACATGTGAGAATTGTGTGTGCTGTGTTTGTTAGTTCCCGGAAGCCTAACACTGCTGACTCTCACTCGGGGGCCCCTCTCCTCACGTCTGCAAACCTTCTCCTGAGGGCATGCACGGTTCCGCTCCATCTGTCTGCGTGCCGAGGGCCCACGGTGGGGGCGCCTTCCTCCAGGGTGCCTCTGCTTGGAATCGGACCCTGGATTTTCCCGTTACTCTCTCCACTCACCATCTCACTGTCAGCTCAGCTTTGGGCTCTTACATTTCTTTGTTTTTTTGTTTTTAAGCCTTCAGAGATTTCCCTTACTGTTTCTGAGAGCCAGCAATACATTAAAAAGTACACTTATTGTAACTTATCCAAGATCTGGTTGTATCTTAGTGGGAGGATCTGTGGGGCATCCAGTCGGCACACTGCAGAGGTTGGAAATTTCCCATCCGGCTTCTGTTCCCACCTGCCGACCCTCGAAAGGGGTAAACCCCTCTCTCTCGGGGAAGACGCTGATCCCTTTTCACCTTCCCCACCCCTAATCTGGGGAGTGCGCCCACAGCCGGCCACCCTCTCTTCCTGACAGCACGCTCTGTTCTTGGCTCCTGTAGCTAGCCACCGCCCAACCCCCGCCGCCTCTCCTCCACCCAACCGTGAAAAGTAGGAATTCCTCAAAATGCAGTGCCAGCCTGCTCCTCCTCCCCGGGCTGCGGCTGCATTGATGCTGCGGATACCTCACCACAGCTCAGACCGCACCCCTGTCCCCTGCCAGGCCCACCTGCTGCCCTTGGCTTCAACAGCTGAGCCAGGTGCCCTGGTTTCCCAGCCCCACCCCCTCAGCCCCGCTGCCCTCCTGCCCTGGCCCCCCACTGCCACCGCACACAGTGCTTAGAGGGCAGGAAAATGAGCACAGTCAGGAGGAGAGCTCTGGCCCGCTGCCTGCTGGAAAGGACCGCGGAGGACGGCACAGGCTCCTCTCCTGCGCAGCACCCCTACTGGCCCCGCGTCTTCAGCAGATGCAGGTCCAGACCCCCAGGTGGGCAGTCTCGGCTTCCCAGGCTGGCCCCAGCCTGCCCTTGCAGCTGTCCCTCCCACTGCTGGTCCTCTTGGGCTCCTTTGTGTCAGCTGCTGGCTGCAGTGTAGGCCTCTTGCCTCTGCTCATCGGCACCTTCCTCCCTGACAGGCTCGCAGCCCCTCCTGACCCTCACTATGGACGTGTGCCAGGCCAGACTCCAACAGGCCCTTCTCCACAAAGCTCCCCTCCCTTCCCTGGCTGGAGGTGGACGTCTCTGGGTGATTTCTGGGCCTCTGACATGGCCCATCACACATGCCCTGGACCACTCTCTGGGTGCACCTGCACTGCCCCTCTCAGACGGCCTGTGGTGCCTCGTGGGGACGAGAACCCCGTCCAGGCATCCTCTTCACATGTTCATTTGATTCACACTTACTGAGTGATCACCACATGCCTGGAACTTTCTGAGCAGCAGCAGATGCCATCCCCAGCACAGCCACAGGGAACAAAGGGCTGTGGGACATAGTTGAAGGGCCCCTCACCAGGCCCGGGGCAGGAGCGCAGACTTCGAAGAGGAGGTGGTGATGTCCACGCTGGAGAAGCCTGGGCACCACCCTGCTGGGCATCGGGGGGAGCGAGCTGGGCAGGCAGGGAGGCAGAGGACGGCGGGCCAGACCCCCGAGGCTCTCAGGGCCATGTTCCAGATTTAAACATGACTCTGAGCGCAGGACAGGCCTGGGGTGGATGTGCATTTAGGAAGTGGGAAAATTCTAGATGCTGGGAGGAAGGATGACAGGATCTGGTGAAGCCTGGGAGGGGCAGGGAGGGGTGTCAAGGGTGACCCCCGAGGCCCTGGGTCCAGCGCCAGAGGAGGAGTTTTTGGCTCGTGCCAGCCAGGGGAACACCCAGCAGAGCCCTCAGGTCCCGTGCCCGTTTACTGTCTGGGTCTGGACGGGAGGCTGCCCTGGCCGTGCTGAGGATGGGGCAGCTGGGTGGGTAGCCCAGGGAGGCCAGAAGGAACTCGGTCACATTTATTAGCGAGAGAGCTACACAACACAACAACAACAACAACAACAACCAGCAGAGCCGCCGGGGAGCCCGTGACTCAGTGCGTCACATACTGGGACAACGCAATGATGTCTCCCGAGAAACTGCGGTAGAATTTGCGGCTCAGGGAGTCCTGGTCCTGCTTGAGCATCTCGAAGTCTGCGGGGGAGACCCACAGGGTCTGACTGCACAGCCAGGCCAGGCCAGGCCAGCGCAGTGCGGGGCTGAGAACGGGCCTGGGGCAGCCTGCTCTGGTGCTGGAGGAAGGTCCAGACGGAGGAGACAAGGCCCTGCCCCAGGAAACCCTGGTCTGTGGGAGACACGGCCCTTCCCAGGCGCCTCCATCTCAGGGAGGTGTGGGGGGTCACAGCCCCGTCCCGGGAGCCCATGTGGGGTGTGCGGTGGTGGGGGTCACAGCCCTGTCCCGGAACGGAGTTTCAAGGAGAAGATGAAAGGCCCCCGGGCCAGAGGGACCCTCTCATGTGTCGGGGAGAAAGGGATCCTGTGGCTGGTGGCCCAGCCCGGGACTCAGGGTGGAGGCCCCTGTGCTTACGTTTCAAGAGGATCTTCACGTCGCCCTTCTTTAAGTAGGAGCAGAGGTCTGCAAAGTAGTCCTGCAGCAGTCCCCCTGCGACAGTGAGGGAAGAGGAGGGTGATGTGCGGCCCCGTGGCCACTGAGGGAAGTGGGCGAGTCGGCGTGGACAAGAGACCAGTGCCTGGCTGATGGGGCCTGTCCTGCCCACCCTGTGGGGCCAGCACCCCTCCCCCTCCTGGTGCGGACCCCAGGGCTCGGGAGCTGGGCCATCTAACGTGGCAGCTTGGGGCGGGGGGAGCGCGTTGGCTTGATGGGCGCCGTGAGCGGGAGTGCAAGGCCACTGGGCCGGACCTACCGATGAACTTCATGGCTGTCAGCTTCAGGCTTTGGTGGGGGCTGCCCAGGTAGATCAGGGCCTGCATGAGGAACTGGTGGTAGTTGCCAAAGTTGCTCTCCACCTGGGGAGAGGGAGACAGCGGCCCGTGGCCAGGCTGGGGCCCAGGTGGCTAGGTGGCGCCCTGGCCTACGTGACCGGGCTCTGCCTGAGGCCCCCCACGCCAGCCCAGCAGTTCCAAGGCCTGAAGGGAGGAGCCTGTGTCGACGGATCCAGGACCTTCCATGTCTACCGCCCTCCCTCACACTGTCCCCAGTGTCCTCCAGGACATCGCCTCTGCCCCTCCCACCCACGCCTGGTCCCCATCCCATCCACAGCTCCAGCGATGGGTCTGGGGCCCGTCAGAGCCGATGGGGTCAGGGAAGCTCCACTGGGCTCCTCAGCACCAGGGTCGGGGCCTCCACGGCCGCTCATTCTCCAGGGCGTGTGCTCGGAGCACAAGGGGCCTCTAGCTGCCACTCAGAGTGGGGAGCTGGCCTAGGACAGGGACCGCCTCGGGACCCGAGGATAAAGCCACTCTAAGGAGGTGGGACAGGGGACAGACCGTCTCATTCCAAATGCTGGGTCAAGCTTTCCTGGGGCTGCGTCCTCTGAGCCTCTCCAGGCTGATATATCAGTTATTTTACTCTCTGAGTCCACCCGAATTGGCTGTTGTGCCACTTGCACTCGAATCCTGACGAGTGCAGCCCGAGGCCACGCCTCCTGGAGAGACCCTCCAGCCCACTGTGTGTTCACACCCAGGCCACGCTCTCCCGGGGTGGGGGTGCTCCCGTAGCAGGGGCACTATTGCCAGGCCACCCTGCCCAACGTGGGGCCCTCCCCAGGCCGTCCTCGCTCTGGCTCCCCACTGGCCGGGCTGACCCCCAGAGCTGCCTTTCCACCCACCGCCTTCCCTCCCTCTCTCCTTCCACAGGCACCAGACCGTCGTCGTAGTCTGGACCTCCCGTTCTAGCCACGAGGCAGCCCGGGCCCACGGAAGTCCTCCCTCCGGACCTGGGTCGGATTCACTTCTTGTCACAAACCCACATGCTGGGAATTTGGTCATCAACTCGTGACCTTTAAAGACAACCACTGTCCTGCTCTGCGTCCACTCTGGGTGGCTGACCAGAGGTGCTGGTCACCACCGATCCTCCGAGTCCTCCCAGAGCCGGACTCTGGGCTCACACGCCAGTTTCCACTCAGATACTAGGCCTTCCTGGAGGCCGGCCAATCCCACGTCTTGGAGAGGAAACAATTAGGAAGGGTCTGGAACATTCTAATGTTGCCAGAAGGAAGGACCCTTCAAGAAGAAAGGTCCAGGGACGGTGCTCACAGGAAAAGGCTTCCAGTCAGAGGGCGGCTACCGGCCAGGCTGTAACAATCTGAGCGCCAGGATGACGAGGGTAACAACGGAAACAATGGGTCCACGGAGTGAGCGGACTCCACCACAGGCTGTGGGACGGGCTGGATTGTGTGCCCCAAAAAAGATATGTTGGAGTCCTGACCGCCAGGACCTCAGAATGGGGCCTTATTTGGAGACGGGGCCTTTGCAGAGGTGACCCAGGTGAGTGAGGTCGTACAAGTGGGCCCTGCTCCAGTCCGACTGGTGTCCTCTTAAAGAGGGGAAACGTGGGCAGAGAGACAGACATGCACAGGAGGGAGCCGTGTGTGGGCCGAGTGACGCTGCCACAAGCCGAGGACCCCCAGAAGCCGGGAGGGATGAACGCGACAGATCCTTCCCTAGCGCCTTCGGAGGGAGCGCAGCCCTGCCGACACCTCGGCCTTGGACTTCTAGATTCCAGAACTGGGAGACAATGAGCTTCTGTCGTTTAAGTCACTGAGTTAGTGGTACCCTGTTTTGGCCGCCCCGGAAACCAACACAGGCCGTAAACTAATTCATAATGCTGCTCAGGAGAGGCAGAAACAGAGAGGAGGTTGTAACGTAAAAGAAGGGACACGATAACCTAAGGCATTTGATATCTTATTAGTATTTAAAAGTGGAGAAGTGTTTAAATACGGACATTTTGTTTCTTCTATTCATGATTTTTGAAAATAAGGTACTGACATGAAGCTGCTCCCATCTGCGGGGCTGGGAGGAAGGGACCATGCGGGCAGCAGGGAGCGGTGAGCCGGCCGTGGGTCAGCCCGGAGTTCCACACGGCACCCAGGCCGGGAGAGGGTCCGACGGTGCGCCCCACGGGAGGACAGCTGCCCGAAAGCGGAGAGCCAGGAAGTCACTGTTTTCAAATACTAGTGAAAAATACATAATCCACGTCTCAGTTATTCTAAAACACCATATTAAAGGAGCTGCTGGCAGATTGGGTTGACGTGTCAGGATGGATGTGGCAGAGAAGGAGTGATGCCACGCGAGACCTGAAGACCTGAAGAGGGGGAAGAGCTCCAGGAAAGACGCTGGCCCCGAAGAGTGAAACGCGTGTGGTGGCAGTGACTTGACAGCGGCGGCTGTGCAGGTGACACGTCCCTGCGGACAGGGCCCCGCAGTCAGCAACACCCGGCCGCGAGTCCCGACCACGGGCGTCAGTGGAGAACCAGGTCCCGGAACCCGGGCCGGCCCGAGACAGCAACTGTTTTCTTTTGGGTCAAACTACAGAAATCCCGGGAAGGTGTGAAAATGGGAAAATCTCCGAAAACCCAGGAGATTCTACGTGGGGGGAAGGAACTGTGAGAATAAGAGGGAGGAAACAAGAACGGGAGGCAGTGAAGGTGCACGGTCCAGCCTCCACTTCCAGACCTCGCGATGCCGCGTCTTGCCCGCAGCGCTTGAAACATTTAGGAGAATCTGACGGTTAAACTCGGGACTTGAATTAAGCGTTCAGAGGTGTTTCAATAAGTTTGTAAAAGATGTGTAAATAAATGTTCAGGGAAATGTACTTTGCTGAATCCACGAGTTGCCTTAGTAACAGGCAAATGTAATGTCTGTAATGCTGACTGTTCAGTGTTTTCACAGGTGGACTGTTTAAACATAAATTAATAAGATTAATAAACTGGGTATTAAATAAAATACAAATGGTAGTGCATGTACCCCTTCATGCACAAAATACTTCCAAGATGAAAGAATCTATTAACAATACATTTCTTTTAAAGTCCTTAGCTGAACTGGCTAAGGGAAACTAGCTACAGAGAAACACCCAAAGGCAGAGGTGGGCAGGACAAAACCAGAACCACAAGCGCATGAGCTGGTGCCCTGGCGGCTCCCCCGGCTGAGGTGGCGTCAACTCGGGACGCCTGAGGCGCCCCTGTGGGCAGACCCAGGAGGGCAGAGGTGGACTCCAGCATAAACCAAGCACCTTGAGAATCCAGACTGGACAGACACCAAGGGTAGGCGGAGAGACCAAAAGGAAGCTGTCCCCATGTTGTCCTGGTTTACGCGCGGTCACCGTGGCCGGGAGCCGCATGAAGGTCGGGAGCTGGGATTACAGCCGGCATCCTCGGGACCTGGAGCCGAGAAACCCATTAGAACTCCATCCCAGAGCAGGAGCAGCGGGACCGCCGGCAGGAACAGACACAGACTCTGCAGTGAGTCCTCTTGAGCCCCATGCCATGGGACACACACAGAGAGGCCCACAGTCCAAAATGCCGGGAGAAATGACAGGAAAACCCACCATGAGCGAGTCAGAGAATACCACCAATGGCAAGATTGGACCCTCAGGAACTTCAGATAAGCGAGCCACTCAGTAGAGATAACAAAGGATTTTTTTAATGATTACATTTGAGGAGAGTGGGAACTCATAGGAAGAGAACATGAGGCTGTGAAGGAAGAACGAGTAGGCCTGTGAGAGACACAGAAGAGAAACCAAATAAAAACTATAGCCATCGATGGGAAAAAGTCACTGGGTATTTTAAGAGCAAATTAGAGATGGATGAAGTCAGAATTAGTGAACTGGGAGACAAATCTGAAAAAATAACCCAAAATGCAGCATCAAGAGATAAAAAATGGAAACTAGGAAAGGGAGGTTAAGACAGATGGACGACAGAATAAAGTCAAACACACATGGAATATGGAAGACCTCTGCCCATTGTTGATATTTTCTTTGCCTCTCAGCTCCAAATTCACCCTTGTGGCCTGCTCTGTAAAAATGGGTCTGGGCCCTGCGAGCATCTTCCTTTGCCCGCAGCTCTGAAGCGCTGTTGGTGGACCACCACGGAGATACTGCAGGAGAAGGGGCTTTGCCTCCCACTCTGGTTGCTCACTCTGCAGGCTCTGTGGTGCTCACAGGCTCTGCAGCAACAGGCTCCTGCAGCACGGCGGCTCCCTTAGCACCAGGACCCTGCACACATCCAGCTTCTCCAACACTCAGCCCCCACCAGCTGCAGTGACTGACACTGAGAAGTGGAGCAGTTCTCCCCAACTCCCCTCAGGCGGTTTTATAGCAGGGTCTCCTGTGACACCTCCCTGTGGGCGACTTTTCCTGGCATCTCAGAGGCCTTATTTCCAGCAACTTCTGCTCCACACGGACTTCTCTGCTACTGAGCGAGTCGTGGCCCTGCTCTAATGAGGCCTGGCTCTCACCCGGGGGAGATGGCTCTACCTTGGGCACTTGCCTCAGCCCTGGGGCGTGGCTATTCCATGTTATGTTCCAGAACACTGCACCACACGTGCTATCTGTTATTCCTGCTGTGGCTATGTCCTTCAGAGCTCTCTCTACTTCTTACTGGCCAACCCCTTCCAACTCCAATCCTCTGCTGCAGTTAATAATCCTTTATATTGACCTTTCCCTGCTCAAATCACTGTGTGTTGTCTGTCCCCTGAATGGATCCTGATGGACACAGGACACTTACAGTCACGACCACAACCACAGGGCTTGAGTGCAGCAGCCCCTGGAGCCCCCTAGGTCTGTGCTTCAGTTGGCACGTCACTGTAATCAACTACAGGTGACAGCTTGATTACACATGGTGCCACTGTGTGCACTGGGTCGCCAGTACCCAATTTCCCATGGGCAAGGGGCTCAGTTCTGCACCAGAGTCAAAAGGCACAACCAAACCAATCCCCAAATCCATCTCTGCGGGTCGGTCTCCCCAACCACTCTCGGCACCAGTGCTAGTCCATGGAATAGGGAGGAATTTCTTAGTCAGACCCAAAGGCACAAACCATGGAAGAGTCGTACACGTGGCTACACTAAGATTCACATCTTTGCACCCTGGAGACACCAGTAGTTAAGTAAAATGACAAGTCACAAACTGGGCAAAAATAACTGCAACTCAAACAACTGGCCAAGAGCCCACAGCCAGAGAATGGGGAGAGTTCACGATTCATTCACGTCTCTAAGCAGAAGTCAAAGAACCCAACGCAGAGCAGGTGAAAGGTCTGAACAGGGTCCTCCCCAGGAAGGTGGTGCCCACGGTGCCCACGTGGAGACGGTGCACTCACAAGTCCCCTAGAAGCCCCACCTCTCCCTCCCTGGGGCCTTTGCTCCAACAGGATGCAGCCCCCCTCCCCCAGTGAGACCCCACCCCAGAAAACATCTGCCATCTCCCAGCCTCAGCAAGGAGCCCTATGCCCTCGGACACCTTGACGAGACCTGGGCTGGACCAGGTGTGCTCGGCTGCCCGCACCCTCGGTCAAGCTAAGGAGGAGTCTGGGACCTGTTGGGAGGAACCCCAGCCCTGCGGGGTGCGGGGCTGCTTGTTTCTCCAGTCTTAGTGCGGAGCGAGCAACTGGAGTCAGAAATAAATCGGCGGCTAGAAAACAGAGCCGTGGGGCTTCTTGCTCCCCCCACCCCATTCACATCTGCCTCCGCACACAGCTCCTCAGAGGGGGACGTGGGCCCGGAATGCCGGTGGGGTCGAGCTTCAGCCCACTCCTGGGCTCTGGGGACTAAAGGGCCGTCCTCAGGTCTGCACTGGGATGGACATCAGCTGGCGCTGTGCCCCTCAAGGGCCCCTCCATGGCAGCCGTGGAGACTGCTGCCGGCCAGGACTCCCGGGTCCAGGCACACGGTGGGGGTGGTCTCCCACACAGCCACGGAGTGGGGACATAATAAACACCCACAGCACCAAATCAGATACTATCTGGGGGGTTCCAACCTCTCCCCATCCCCATCCCCATCCAGGTGCCCTCGGAGGGTGCGGGGCGTGCCGGCACCTTACCATGTAGATAAAAATGTCGTTCTCAGCGCCCAGGCCATGGCCCCACGCCAACTTGCAAAACAGCTCTTTCCGAAACTCCCACTTCAGTAAGATGGCACAGCGCAAGAAGGTGAACTTCGTCTTCTGCGGGTGCCAGGAGAGACGGGTCACCACCCTCCCCGTCATCACTGCCCTCCTGGGCAGACCCCGAGAGCAGGGGCCTCCTGCAGCCACACTGTCGCAGGGGCACTGAGGGTCCCAGGCCCAGCAAGGACTCCGCTCACAGCTGTGCCTGGGCTGTGCAGCCGGCACCTGCCCTGGAGAGGGGCTGCACCGCAGGAGGAAGGGACACCCCCACACAGCGACTTCACCCCCCAAGACTCCAGAAGGGCCAGTGGTCACCCTGGCCACTCAGGCCTCCCTCCCGACCCCGAGGGCCTCTCTCAGGGAAGGCGCTCTGGCCCCTCGCTCACCAGCACCCACAGGCCTGTCTCAGGACTCCCGTGGAGAGGCCCCGTGTCCCTGTGATGGGCGGAACTGTCTCTCCAGGCTGCATGCGCTGAGCCCTAACCCCCAGGACCTCAGGATGTGACTGTGTTTGAAGCTGGGGTCTTTACAGAGGTGATTAAGGGACATGAGGTCACTAGAGAGGCCCTGACCCAATCTGACTGGTGTCCTTATAAGAAGAGGATATCTGGACACAGACACACACAGAGGGATGACCACATGAGGACACAGGGAGGAGACGGCCATCTACACGCCAAGGAGAGAGGCCTCAGGAGGAACCAGCCCTGCCGACGCCTGGGTCTCTGCAACCCTGCCTGAGGCACATTGTTAGGGCAGCCGAGCTGACTGAGAGAGGCCCGCTCCCGAGCCTGGCCTCTGCTTCCCTTGCTGGGTTGGGACTGCCCGCCTGGTTTTCACTCTCCAAAACCCTCAGCCTCCTCCTCAGTCCACCCTACCAGGGTGCTCTGGGGCTCACGCCTCTGTTCCCTGGGGGACTGTGCTCCTCAGAGGACAGTCACCTCCTCTCCAGCTCTTATGTTGAGGCCTTGATCACAGGAAGACCCTCTGCCCCACCTCTGTCAGGCCGGGCCCCTCTTCACCTTCCTGTCTGCCTGTTGGCTTAGAGGACACACCGCCCTCCCTCACTAAGAGGCCCTTGGCCTCTGGGCAGCTTACCCTAAGACTGAAGCCTCCGAGACCCGGTTAGAGGCCCACCTCCCCCAGGCAGCCTCCCCTGATTACCTCAGCACCTTTTTCCTCCTGAATTTATTGGCTGTACCCATCAGTCTCCCACCTGGAGACATTCCTGCCTTATACTGGTCTCCCACCCCCGCTTCCATCCATCCATTCATTCAGCCACACATTCACTCAGCAGCTGCCTCATGCCAGGCTCGGGGCTAGGGGCTGGTCTTACGGACCCAGCTCTGAGGCAGACCACCTCCCTGGCTCTGGAGCTCCCAGCCCAGTGGGTCCATCAGAGATGGGTCCAGAGGGCTCTTGGGTCTGATGAATCTAGGGCATGGGCAGGAAGGAGGCATGGGACCCAAGTATGCCATGGAGGGGACAGGCCCTTGACGCCATGGAGGAGGAGTGGTCTGAACAGAGTGCGTGCCCAGGACCAAGGGAACATCACCCTGGCCTGTGGGTGGAGGTGGAAGCCCGGAAGGCTTCCCTGAGGAGGAGGCACCTGCACGGCATCTCGAGTGAGAAGCAGGTGCTCCCCATGCAGAGATGAGAAGGGGTACTCCAGGAGATCAAGGTGCCTACAAAGGCATGACCTAGGAAACCCCGGGGCCTGTGAATCCTCTGTGGGAATTAAACATGGCGCCTCTCTGGGGACGGGGGCGGGGGACCTTAAGCAGAATGTAGTCTGCACCACCGCTGGGGGAGAGGGGGAATGAGAAAGGCCTGCAGCGCCGGGCTCCCAAAGCTGACTCTGCGTGTGTGCGCGCGTGTGTGTGTGTGTGCGCGTGTGTGCGCGCTGGGGAGGTCTCTGAAGCCAGAAGAGGGCCATGGGCCCTGGATGGGGAGGGAGAACATGCAGGCAGGTGGAGCCGGGGGAACGGCCACCCTGGAACGGCACTCTCCTTTTCTCCGTCTGCACGTTCGCCTGCACGGCCAGGCCTGGCCCTCACTGTGTGGCCATGGCGGCCTCTCCCGGACAGCTGCCCCGCCCTGGTCTCTCACCACGGCTGGGTCCTCCTGAGCTGCCTCCTCCCCAGCCTGGCCCGCTGCCCCGGCCATGCCCCGCCCCCCGACTGTCCGGAGGCTGCTGTGGGCTCACCGTGACCACCCGGGGGCAGGGGTCAGCCAGGTGCAGGAGCAGGGGCACCAGGGCCTGGAAGGCGTGGGTCCTGAGCGCCGGCCGGAACTTCCTGCCCCCACTGTAGAGGACGTTTCCGTACAGGAAGATGGCTCCTCCGCGCACGTCCTCCTGTTCCTGCCAGACACGGGCAGGCCTTCCCCTCAGCCAGGCGACAGGCGACATGCGGGAGTCCTCGGCCCAGGCACAGCTCCCCCGCCATTGGTCGGCCCTGTCGGCCGCCACCCGGTCTCTCACCTTCCTCCTGGCCCAGGGACTTGCAGGGGCCAGTAGCTGCCTCATGTCTGCCCCCCTTCAGCTCAGGGCCAGCAACTCCACCCTCCACCCCGCACCCTGCTGTCCAGGTCACCCCCCAGCACCTGACAGGCCAGCCTGTCACCCCAGCCGGCTGCCTTCTCGCCTGGCTGTCCCCGCTGCTCTCGCCACCCCCTAATGGCTGCAGCCTCCTCCTGGGTCAGCCTCTTCTCCCTGGTTTCCTCTCCTCTGCCATTTCTCTGGGGGGGCTTCAGACTGACAGCAGCCACACCTCCGCCCCCGGCAGACCAGGATGCGGGTTAGAGCGCAGACCCTGGTGCAGATCTGTCCCTTTCTAGCTCTGTGACCCGGGCAAGGCTCCTTCAGTGTGTGACTCAGTTTCACCATTTGTAAAAAGGGCCAACGAAAGTGCCTTTGTCCCTGGGTCCTCCTCCTACTACCCCCGCCCCCTCCTCCGTCTTCCCTGACAGCCTCCGGCATGGCTGCACTGCAGGTCCCCAGGACACCTTCACTAACGCAGCCACCTGCTTCCCCGCCCGGCTCACTCCTCTTCCTCACCTCAAGGAATGCAGCATCCCTCTCCCTCCTCCAACACCCCGGCCCCTCCTCTCCCCACTCCCCACGGTGGCCCGGCCACCCCCCAGGTCCACTCAACCTGTCTGTCCTGCCTGGGTTAAGCCCCACCACCCTCACCTCACCTGATTTATCCAGAACCCCTCAAACCATTTACCCTGCCCCGGGCTTGCCTTCCATTTTCTACGTGGCCGCCTCCAATGGTCTTTCTAAATGCCAACTGCTGCCCTGCCCTCCCCCCAACCTCAGCCACCACCCCGGACCCTGCACCCTCTGAATGTCTCCATGTGGCTTAGGGATGGTTCTTTCCCAGGCAGCCCGGAGGCCTCACCGAGCCCTCCTTACGGACTTGTCCCACAAGCCCCGTGGGCAGCAGCTTCTGCTGCTGTGAATGGTGGGGGTAGCAGCTTCGGCTGCTCTGACTGGCGGGCTTGGGCGAGGAGCTGCCCAGGCGCGGGTCCTGAGGCGCCCTGCCACTCACGTGCTCGAACAGAGGCAGCAGGTGCTGGGCGATCTTGAGGCTGACGGTGCCGACGCCCTGCCCGCCCAGGCAGTGCACGATGTCGCCCAGGATCTCCATCAGGCCAATGAGGTCCCCGGGCTCGGGCTTCAGGAAGCTGTCCAGCAGCCCGATCAGCCGGTTCCGGAGCAGGAGCACCTGCGGGGAAACGCAACAGCCCCCTGCCTGCCCTGCGTCCTCAGAAATGCACTTCTGGGTTCTCCACCAGCACCGCCTCCTCCTGAGCCCGACTGAGGCTGCCTCTCCCGCCGCTCCCTGCCTCCCTCTCACGCTCAACAGGGGCCTCAGTCCCAGCCCTCAGGGCATCATGGGGCACAGACGTGTCCTGGGAGGTGCAAAGGGCAGGAAGAGAAAGGACGCCCCCATCCAGCCGGCGTGAGTCCTCCGTTTGCCGGGTGGAGCATGAACAGGACCTCCTGGCAGGCGTGCTGTCAGGTAAGGGAGTCCTACCTGGAAAGGAGGCCAAAGTCGCTGACCTCAGAGCTTCCTCCAGCTCAGAAATTATAGGGTCCCCAGTCCTATGCAATGAGCAGGGCCTCCCGAACTCTCCTACCCTCGCCTGCCCCGGGCCTGACTTGCCTTCCCTGTCCACCCCTTCCAGGTCAACCTGCTGTGGAGGCTCTTTTCAAATGCCTCCTCCTCCCTGACGTCTTCCTGGGATAGGAGTGGGCATCTCCTCCTCTCACCTTCTTAGGGTGCATCAGGATACTGCTGAGGCCCTTCAGGCTCATGGCCCGCACCAGCTGGTTGGGGTTGTTCAGGCCCAGGTTCAGGAAGTTGTCCATGGTTTTCCGAGATGTGTACTGGGTGAGCTCTTGGCTATTGAGAAACTGAGTAGGGTCGGCATGGTCAGCCCACCAGTTAATTACAGGGAGGATTGGGCTATAGCAGGGAGAGTCGGGCTATAGCAATAGCATGAGATTATGGGGTTAGACACAAGAAAACACTTCCAGACAGCAAGTAGGTCTGGCGTGGAATGCAGAAGTTAGGGTGCTTTTATATCAGAGGGTAGGAATGGAAGTCCAGTTCTCTGACCTTCTTCCTAAGGGCCAGAGGGCACTGGTGAGGAGCAGGGGCAGGGTCGAGGAGGGGCTGACCTCTGTGATGATGAGGATGGCCACGATGTTGTCCCGTTCCTCGGAGCTCTGCAGGGAGATGACCGCCTGCCCCAAGACGGCCTTGACCTCACAGTCGTAGTGGGCCATGGCCCTGTCAGATGGAAGAGGCAGGCGTGGGGCCCCTGTGGGGTCCATCCTTGGCCAGGGTGGCCTCCCTCCCCCTACAGACCTTGTTCACTCAGGGAGATGGTCCAGGCGACTGAGTCTGGAGGGTAGGGTCCCAATGTGGAGTGCAGGAAGGGCCCCATCAGGGCTGCAGTTTGGGGCCAGGCCCCTCCCAGGCTTGGTGCTTACCTGGCCAGGAGGGTCACCCCCTCTGTGTAGGTTTCCAGATGCTCCAAGAGCTCCCAGCCCCTCAGCAGCTTGAGGTCGGCGAACACCTCCCAGTAGTTGGTGGTCCAGAAGAGACCCTTCAGGGCCTCCAGGCATATCCTAGGGGCGAGTGGGGGTGTCTAGAAGAGGTGAGCCAGGGCGAGGGGCTCAGCTCTCCTACTGGAGTATGAGGTCAGCATCTGTACCCCGACCTGCACTCTCCCCCCGGCCTGGGGTCCTGAGCCTCTGAGCTTCCTGCTCTCTCGGGATTCCCTCCTGACAGCTGCTGGCGGCCCCTCACCCTGTCCCCCCACCCAGGGCTGGACCTCAGTCCTTTCTGGGTCCCCAGCACTAAGCCTGGGGCCTGGTGCCCACCAGGGGTTCCGTGGACATGTGGGAGGAACCAGAAAGAGGGAGTGAGTTGGGGTCTCAAGAGGCTGGTCTCGCATCTCACCTGCAGGGGTTGAGGGGCCTCGCCTCCAGGATGTCCTCCTGGTAGTCTGAGACGCCCTCCGCCACGTCCAGCTCGAACAGATAGTGCAGCTGTGTGAGCAGGCCCAGGAGGAGCCCCGCAAAGGCCCAGCGCACTGTGGGCTTGTACTCCCGGAGGTACAGGAGCTCGTAGATGGTGCCCAGGGCCTGCAGTGGGCCAGAGCAGGGCCCAGATGGGGCGCCACATTGGTCCCTGCACACGGCCTGGCTCCAGTGAGCAGAGGAGCTGGGAGCAGCAACCACAGGGCCACCCTGGCCCCAGGCCCCACTGCCTGTGCCTGGCTGGGGCCAGGAGAGTCCCAGGGGCTCTGCCCCACCCTGGGACTCAGCATCAAGAGCCCTTGGCTATTTCTGGTGAGACCCTCCACCAGTCACCCTGGCACCCCACGAGGCCCCTGAATGACGATGCCGTTGCCGCGGGGGCCTGGGTGGGGACCGGGTGCGGGCGCGGTGCTGCTCACCAGCAGGGAAATGAGCTCCGCCTGCTGGGGGAGCCTGATGAGCTCCTTGGGGGGCCGCAGCTTCAGCTTCATGTAGAGCAGGGTGACGACCTTGCGGGCCAGCCGGTTGTTGGTGGCCAGGGCTGTCCACAGGGGTGTGACCTGCCTGGGGAGACAGGGAGTCCAGTCCCTCCAGCTGGCTGGCCACACTGGTGGAGGGGCCAGTGGGACATGACCCCCAGGACAGCAGAATGGCCTGCCAAGCAAGTTAAAGGAGAGGTGACCGGGCCCTTTAGGAATGGGGAGCCCCTCCATCGGGGGGGTCCAGGGGCTGTATTCTGACGGCCAGTGGGGCTGGGGACCCTGCTCGAAGCTGTGTGCACAGGCTAGCTTGCCCTGACGTTGGCGCTCGCTCCCGCTTCACCCTCCTCATCGTGTGACCCTGAGCAAACCCCGTCCTTCCCCAGCCTGTCTCCTCACTCAGGAGGTGGGGCTCATGCCCCAGCAGAGCTCACCCCTCTGCGGCCCGAGGAACAAATGAGCCTGGCAGAGACAGACGCGCGGCGGGCATGTCTCACTAGGGTAGGAGGGGCCGCGTGAACCTGCATCCCTGGGACCTCCCTGTGCCCTGTCTAAGTGTGGCCCTGTGACAGGCCGATGCTCCCCGAGATGCTCCACAAGGCACCGTGGGCCTCCAGCCTCGCTCAGACTTCAAAGTGCGCGCACACCACTCGGCTCTGGTTAGAATGCGGCTGCGGGGCCGAGACTGCGTTTCTAACGAGCTCCCGGGTGATGCTGCTGGTCCTCAGTCTGCCGTCCACAAAATGCAGCCTGGAAACCCAGCCGAGAGGGGCGTCTGGGACTGTGTGCCTGGGACCCTGGGCCAACTGGCTGGAGCTGTTTGGCGGCCCTTTAGTATCATCACGTCACCCAGGTGACCTCAGGCCCCTCTGCAGGTTGGCCTCTGGGGGCTCTCTGAGTCTGAGGGACACCTGTGCTGAAAGCCCCCTGCTGGCGCTGCAGGAGCCTCCACCTCAACCCCTCAGCCCGGGACCCCACTGGTTGTGGAGTCTAGGAAGGAGGACGGAGTGGAGCTGGAGCTCGTGTGCACCCTGCCCTCCCGGGAACAGAGCCTGTCTAGGAAGTGTCCGTAGACTGGGAGGACGGACCACGCATGAGGAACAGGTGTTCACCTTTGGGTCACAGGCGCAGGTGACCCACCTCTCTGAAGGGCGGCACAGGGACAGCAGCACCTCCACTGTCTCCTGGGTGTGCTGGGCGCCCAGCACGGTCACGGCCTTCATCATGGTCTGCAGGATGTTCTTGAAGATGATACACGGCAGCTTCTGGAACAGGCCCTGCAAGATCTCGGCCACCTGCACAGGGAAGGGCGGGCGGGAGAGGGCCTCAGGGCAGCCCCTCCAGCTCCTGCCCCTGTTGCCTGCTGGGGCTGGGGTCCACGTCCTCTGCGAGTGCATCTGGTCCCCTCAGCCCACAGCCTGACCCGTGTGATCCCGCAGCATGACGAGGTGTCTGGACACACACAGGACACAATGGGACAGTGGGCGGAGCAGCCTCTGGGCTCAGGCTGGCGCCGCCCCTGCCCTTGCCACAGCCTCACTCCCCTCCCTTTGTCCATGCGAAAATGGGAATCAACCCTGCGGGGCCAGTGGGGTTGACCAGGCCTGGCAGCCTCTGTGGAACGTTAGTGTCCGCGTGGGCCGTGGACCAGGTTGGCCGAGCCAGACTGAGAGCAATCAGATCCTGGGTGGGGGGCGATTTCTCTCCCACCTGCTGAACCTGGCTGTGAACGAGGCAGGTTGTCACCCCCATTGCCCGTGGCAGGGCCTTGAGGGGAGCCAGCCAGACGGGAGGGGCGAAGCAGGGACCCCGGGGCATTAGCGCAGCCTTGCTGACAGGACCGTGCTGTTTCGGGCACCTGGAGGCGGGGCTGTCAACTGCTGGCTGCCGGGAATGTCCTCAGGACCCACTGCCCCCCGTGGTCTCCGTAAAGAGGTGTGGTGCACACACACACGTGCGCACACACACAGGCAGCCTTTGACATGGGGCAGTCCTGCGTCCCCTCAACCCCATGCCCTCCCTCACAGGTCCTCACGGTTCCTGCAGGGAGGCACACGGCACATGGCCCAGGAGAGGGGCTGTACCCGCCGGGCCCCGGCGCCCACCTGCTCCGGCTTGATGCTGTGGTCCTCGAAGATCATCAGGACGAGCTGAGCGGCCAGGTCGCAGCACAGGTGGCTGTGGCTGCAGAGCCCTTGCAGGAGCGTGAGGACGAGCTGCGTGTGCTGGGCCACGGTCAGGTTCTCGTCCAAGGCCTGTGCCAGTGGGGCTGGACTGAGGGGCCGAGGGGCACCCTCCCTGGTCAGCAGCCATCCAGGCTTTCCCGAGGGGGCCTGGGGGCGCTGCTCTTACCCAGAGATAGAGCAAATACCAGGTACACAGACTGACAGCGACACCAGAAGGCCAGCTTGACCCCCTGACCCCAGTGGGCTGTTGGTGGCCCACCCAGCTGGCCTCAACAGGCTGTGGGCTGTGGCGCAGGGGCTGGAAGTGTGGCTGCTACAGTCTTACAGCTGCCCCTTCTCTGTAGAATTGCTCTGGGGTCAATGGGAACAGCAGCCTAGCCCAGGACGTCGGGCGCCCCCACCCCAGCCTGCAGCCGGTGACTGCCTCAGGGGACAGAAGCCCAGCCTGCCCCAAGGCGGGACCAACTCCATGGTGCAGCCCTCCCCATAGTCAGGCTGCGACCACAGCCCTGCTCGGCTCCTCCTGCCCTGCCTTTCTTCCCTTACTCCTTCCTCCTGAGAACACATCCTGGTCCTCAGTGAGCTGTACCGGAATCCCATCCCAGGCTCTGTTTCTGGGGAACCCCCGCGAGATGACAGGCTGCTAAGTCCCGGTTCCTGGAGGGACCCCCGGGGGACGTCCATCTGCACGGGGGTGTCACTGCTCCTATCGAAGCCTGTCCCGAGAGCAGGCTGGGCGTCAGGCTCAGTGACCCTCACTTGGAAGGTGGGGAAACAGAGGCACAGAGAGGTTGAATGGCCTACCCAAGGCCACTCAGCCAGTTAGGGGCAGAGCCTGGACTCAAATTGAAACACTTGACTCCCAGTCCTACATGAGGGGAGGGACGACCCTGAGAAGAATGCCTACGGGGAGGGTGGGCAGAGGAGAAGGGAGATAGTCGTCCTGCTTGCCTGGGACCAAGGCAAAGTGGTAAGACCAGGACAGCCCCAGCAAACTGAGACAAGTCGTCACCCTAGTGAGGAGCCACAAAGGAGAGGCCAGGGGGAGAGAGGGTGCTGCGAAGGGAGGTTCTGAAGATGCTGGTGAGAACCTTAGATCGCCGTTCCAGAGGGGCCCAGCTGCCCTCCGAGTCAGAGGTGGCAGGGTGCAGGGGCGGGACTTTAAGGGAAGAGAGACAAGGGTCCTTCCCTGGGAAGAGCTTCCGGGTCCTGGCTCTGCCTAGCCTGGCCCCCTCGCAGGTGGCGTGGGGCCTCCGTTAGCCCCATCTGTAGGATGGGCAGGGGGATGGGAACCAGAGTGATCCCACACTCTTGCGCAGTTTAGGGTCTGTGGGAGCACCTGTTGGCCCCTCCCTGCCCCCGGCTCTGACGGGCCCCACCTTCACCAAATTGTAGAACTTCATCTCTGATTCTCTGTAGGCCCTTGCTTCAGAATTCTTCATTTTATTCAAATGCATGAACTCCGCCATGCTCCCTGTGTGGGACACTCAGTAAGGAGCCTGCCACAGTCTGGAGAGTGACACCCTCCTCTCCAGACCACGAGTGAGGCCCAGAGAGGACAAGGAGCCAGGCCAGTTCCCCAGGGAAGAGTGGGGCACCCGGCCGTGCCGGCCCCTCCCACCCCCTCCCTGCTCGCGGCTCACCCTTCTGCTGGATCAGAAGCTGGAGGAGGAGGTACACACACTGGTGGGAGTGGCTCTGGGTGACATTGTCCTTGTCCCGCCACAGGAGTGTCAGCAGGCCTATCTGGTGGCCCAGCATGGAGGGCACAGCCTCTTCCTGGGGAGAATGGGCCCTGAGCAAAGCCAACCTGGCCTCTGGGAGTCACTTGCACTGTTCCTCCCAACTTGCCCACTCCTTCCGTCCATTCCCGTGCTTTGCATCTTGTGGGCAAGGCAGCAGCTCAGCCACTGAAAGGGGCTCTGGCTCCAGCCGTAGAAGAGCTTTCACCTCTCTGACCCCTGTTTCCTCATCTGTAGAAGGTGGTGTTATGTTGCTTCTGATGAAGAGTCAGTGGTGTTCCTGTTGTTAGTTCCCTGGGTACATGCAAGCATGCATGTACGTGTGTGTCTATTTCTTCTGCCTGCTTTAAGTTTTTCCTATTTGTCATTGTTTTTCAGCAGATTTGGTGGTGACAGTTTTGGTGGCAGCTTTGGTGTGTTTTTCTTTGTGTTTATCCTGCTTGGGGTTCACTGATGTTCTTGGAGCTATGGGTTTATATTTTTCATCAAATTTGAAAAATTTCAGGCATTACTTCCTCAGTTATTTCCTTCTGTCCCAATCTTCTCACCTGTCCTTCTGGGACTCCAGGTGTACTTGATAGCATTCCACAAGTCGCTGAGGCTTTGATTATTTTCCTCTAGTCTTTCTTTTTCCTCTATATGCTTCAGTTTCAATAAGTTCTGTCATCCTGTTTTCAAGTTCACTGATATTTTCTTCTGGAATGCTTGGCTTGCTGTTAAACCAATGCCGTGAATTTTTCACTTCAGATATTGTGTTTTACAATTTCTAGAATTTCCATTTGGTTGTTTTTTATAGTTACCTTTTATCTATTGATATTCCATATCTATTCTTTTATTGTGTTCATATTTTCCTTTATTCTTGAAACATATTTATAATAGCTATCTTAAAGTTTTGTCCCCTCATTCTGTTGTCTGTCATTTCTGTATCTACTTCTATTGACTGCTTTTTCTCCTAATCACAGGTGACTGTTCCCATTTCTTCACCATGTCAAATAATTTTTTATTGTACACTGAACATTGTGTATGTTCTATTGAATTTTGTTCTGGCACACAGTTAATTGATCCTTTGGAGGCTTGGGGTTAAGGTTTTTAGGGCAAATTGAAGGTAGCCTTTACTCTGGGACTCAAAGAATGCTACTCCTAAGTTATGGCTTTTATGGGATGTTCAGGGAGGCCGCTCAATTCTGGAAGGGTCAGAAATCCAATGTCTCCCAGCTGTCTGTGAATTCCGGGAGTTTTCCTTTGCCTGGCTTCACAGAGTCTTACCCTGAACACGTGCAGCTTAGTCTTCAGTTGAAGACCCGAGAGTACCCTCTGCAGATTTCTGGAGCTCCCTCTCTGTACCACTGCCTCCTCTCCAGAACCTGCCCTGCGGATGCCAGCCCCTCTGTGTCCCTGAACTGCCACCTCTGCCTCCTCAGCTCAGCAACATTAGGGATTCTCCTCCAGGTCTTCAGACCAGACAATGCCTTCAGGCAGAGAACTGGCATGATTGTGGGGCCCTCCTCATCTGTTCTCCATCTTTCAGGGGGCGCAGTCCTGTGCTGCCTCTTGGCACCGTCTGAAATCAGGTATTTTATATGTTCTGATCCCTGTTAGAGTTGATTACAATGGGAAGGTAAGACTGATACCAGTTACTGGGTGTTGGGGAAGCGGTGGGTGGTGACTGGAGAGAGGTACGAACAAGGGAACTTCCTGAGATGCTGGAAATGTTGTCAATCTTGATACATTTACTTTTAAAAAGTCACTGAGCTGTCCAATGAAGATTTTTTCATTTTACCATATGCAAATTTTACTTCACTAAAGTAGAGTAAAGAAATTGTTTATGTCCCCTTGCAATCTTCACAAGCAAAGGGTGGGGTGGGGGTAGGGCTCTCCTGCAGAGTCTCCTCTGAATGTCTAGCCTCAGAGGCCCAGGGAGTTGATGAGACTGGGCTGGACTTGGGCAGGAACTGCTTGTGTGCCGAGGTGAGGTGGGGACCTCTGCAGCGAGCAGCCCCAAGGCTGGGCCCACACAGGCTGAAATTGAGTGCTGCGGGACTGGGGTTAGTTTGATGAGGCCCACAGAGGAGTGGAGGCAGAGGAGGGCCCTGTTCTGGTGGGGAGGGCACAGCCTGCTGCCTGGCCCGCGTGCACCCGGATTGGCCTCCCTGTGAGGAGGCGTGTGCTGTGCCCTGTCCTTGTGAGTGTGCTGGCCCTGCTCCCTCTGGCTTCAGGGAGCAGAGCTCAAGCCCAGGGCCACCTCATCCAGTTAGGAGTGTTTTCAAGTCTTTCATTTCACTCATGATTCTCTCATTCAATAAATATAGTATTGGATGCCTTTTTGAAAAGTTAAACTAGCCTCACAGGCAAATTTGTGTCTCCAGTCTGGACCTCTCCACTCACCTCCAGACCGCTATGTCCACCTGCCTGCACAGCATCCCCACTGGCGTGTCTGTCAGATATCTCGTTCCCAACAAGCCCAACATTGAACTGAACCGCCCCCCTTCACAGCGCATGTTCCGGGGATAAACATCCCCAACTCAGTTGGGGGCAGCTCAATCTTTCCAATTACTCAGGGTGAGATCCTTGGAGTTATTCCTTTTCCAATATTCCTTATCCACCCGTCGGAATTTCCTGTTGGCTCTACCTGCAAACTACGCGGAGAATCTGACCACCAATAACACCGACACTGACGGTGTCCAGTCGGCATCGTCTCGCCTGTCTCCCGAAGCAGCCTCCTGACCAGGCTCTCTTGGCTTCTGCTCTCACCCCCCTCAGTCTGTTCTTACCTCGGCAGCCAGAGTGAGCCTCTGGAAACGTTGCAGTGGCTCTGCATTGCTCTCGGTCCAAAAAGCTAAAGTCATTATGAGGGCCTGCAAGGTGGTACAGGATCGGCAACCCCGACCTCTCCGCCCTCGCCTCTGACTGCTCACCCGCTAATCCCACCCCAGCCCCACGGACGCCTCGCCGCCCCTGCAGCCTCACCTGGCCTGGCTGCTCTCTTCTCCTGGAATACCCTTACCTACCTCGTCTCTGCTAGATCTGACCTTCTCAATGAGGATTACCTTGATCTTTTATTTTTTGATCATTTTTTAATTTTATTATAATTTCATACTTACAGAAAATTTGCAAGAATAGTTCAGAGAATTCCCATGTATCCCTTACCCAGATTTTCCCATTATTTACACTTTGCCTCATTGGTTTTTTCATTCTCCTCCCTCTCTCCCTCTCTCTGTGTCTCTCCCTGACTGGAGACATTGAGGATTTTACTGCAAATACTTCAGCATGCATTTCCTAAGAACACAGACATTTACTTACACAATCACAATGCAGTTATCCAAACCAGGAAATTTAACGCTGATCATTGATACAGTACTATTGTCTAACCCATAGTCCATATTTAAATTTCATCAACTGTCCCCATACTGTCATACACACACCCGCATACGTGTTTTCTTTCTTGGTTTGGGATCATGTGTGACGCTTAGTGGACACAGCTCTTTAACCTCCTTTAGTCTGAAATGGTTCTTCAGCTTTTGTTTTTCTCAACTCTGGCATTTTTGAAAAGTGCAGACAAATTGTTTGGGTTTGTCTGCTGTTCCCTCCTGACAAGATCCGGGCTGGCCGTCTCTGGTAGGAGCGCCACGGCAGCGCTGCTGTGTCCTCCCCAGTGCACCGTGTCAGGAGGCACCGGCTGTCCCAGCATTGACCGTGTCAGCTTTGATGGCTTTGTCACAACGGTGTCTTCCGAGGGTCTCCGCTGTGAAGTTACTGTAATTAACTACTTTTATTACTTTGTAATTAATTCGTGGTTTGTGGGGAGATGCTCTGAGCCGATTAATGTCCTGTTTCTCCTCAAACTGCCACCCACCAGTTTCAGCACCACCGACCACCTTCCAAGTCCACACTCCATCTGTATCTGTTAGTGAGCACCCGACTGTAAGGCGGAGCTTTCCTGCCCTTTGTTTATGTCGTCGTTTGTGCATTTCTCAATGATGTCAGGATGGACTGGTGGGTTTATATTGTGTTCAGTTGGTTGTATCTGTTACTACCCTGGTTTCTCTGATACTCTAACTGTCTTAGATTTTACCAGCAGGGGCCCCTCCAGCCGGGCTCCTGTGTCCTCTGTCTATGTCCCCAACGTTCTTGGAGCCCCTCCTTACTTTCTAGAATAACAAGGTGCCCTGGGCTCATCCTGCACTTTCTCTGACCCACCTCCAGAATGAGCCTTTTCCCCAAATAGCCCTCGTTCCTTTTAGTGGAGAACTGTGTTTAGAAACTAGGATCTAAGCACTAGGTTCTCATTGCTCCTGGTGTATTGATGATGCTAGGTCTTCTCCAGGGACACACACACCTGCACACACACACACACACACACACACACACACACACAGAGCAACAGCTATACTTACGTCTATAGGTATATATCTACATCTACCTATATTTTAAGACTTATGAGTTCAGACTGATGCCTCAGGCTCCCGTATGAAACCACAGGTACTTTTGAATCCTAACCCATTTCTATATTTGCAACAGGAAGACACCAGTCTCCCATTATCCTTGACGTCTTTCCTCATTCTTGAAGTTTAGAATACAAATTTCAGAATTGCAAACCAATATCACTGCAAAACCTAAACTACTGAATTTGTTTAAAATGTATTTACAGTTCTTGTTATTTAAAACTTACCTACAAAGGAAGACTCAGATATTATGTGTGCAATGGGTTTGAACATACCCGCCCAGTCCCCGCCTCCACTGAGTCTGGAATCCTCCCATTGCCTCAGAAGGCCCCCTGCCTGCCAATAGCCCCTGCCTTTCTGGTGAGTTCTCCTGTGACTGGACTTCACACGAACGGACTTGCACTGTGGTCCTCCCGCGTCTGCTTCTGTGCTCCACACATCTGTGCCGTGAGGCGTGCCCGCGGGTCCTTCCTTTTGTGCTGGCTGGTATTTCTGTGTGTGGCTACACGTTCTCCTGCTGATGGACATTTGGGTTGCTCCCAGTGGGGCTATGATGAATGAAACCACTATTAATATTCGTGTGTAAGTTGTGTCGTTTCTTTGAGTACATACTAGGAGTGGAACTGCGTGGGCTCAGGGTGGGCAGGGGTAGCTAGGTAAGAACAGTTGGGAGTTTTCCCAGGTGGCTTTGCCGTCCTGCACTCGCACCAGCGCTGTGCGATGTTTCTGGCGGCTCCATATCCTGCCAACACCTGGTCTGCTCAGTCCTTTTCATCTTCGCCTTCTGGTGGGTGAGTGGCGATGTCCCACTGTGGTTGCAGTTTGCATTTCCTTACGACGCATTATGTTGAGCACATTCGCTGTCATGTGCCTTGTAAAAGGCCTGTTTGACTTTTGCCTGTCTTAAAAACTGGGTCATCTTTTGATTGCATTGTGGAAACTCGTTTATCTTCTGGATGCACATCTTTTGTTAGATGTACGCACAGCAAATATTTTCCCCAGTCTGCGTCTTGACTCTTGATTCCCCTGATAGTGTCTGTGGATGGACAGATGATTCTTACCTTGATGAAGTCCACTTTATCAATACTTTATTGACAGTTACTGCCTTCTACACTCTGTCTAGGAAATCTTTGCCTATCCCAAATTTGTAGAGGGATTCTACATTTTTCTTCTAGAAACTGTATGGTTTTGACTTTTGCATTTAGTTCTGTGATCCATCTTGAACGATTCTTGTTTGTGGTGTGAGATGGGGGTGAGGGTCATTTTCTCCCCATTTGGGCCTACTTGGTCCAGCACTATTGTGGAAAGTACTTTCCTTTGGTGCCTTTGTTGAAAATCAATTGACTGTACAAGTAGGGGCCTCTTTCTTGACCCCCATTCTTTTCTGTTGATCTGTCTGTCTTTACTGCAATACCACACGGCCTTGGTTACGAGAGCTTTCTACTAAGTCTTGAAATCCGTCAGTAGCAGTCCACCAGCTGGCTCCTTTTCCAGGTCGTCTGGGCTGCTCTGGGGCCTCTGCACACGCGGCTCTCACCTCGGGCTCCTCCCTCGGCCTGAATGTTCTTCTCCCGGCTAGCTGCTTGGCTTCCTACCCTTTCTTCCTTCAAGTCTTTGCTCCCAGGCACCCTTGCCCTCAGGATCTGCCAGACCACCCTATTTGAAGTGTGACCTCTGCCCCAGGACTGGGGGTTCCCGGGGGTGGGAGGGCTAGCAGTCCAGATGCTCAGTGAATACCAACTGTGAGACTCAAGAGGGAGGCTGGGAGACGAGTCCAGTACCCAGAGGTGGGAACAACCTCGGTGGGGAGGTGGGGGACCCTGCTCCTCCCTTCCTTCGAGGCCCCGCCCACCTGGCTGCCCTCTCGACGGTGGTGGGCTGTCAGGCGACTCACCGTGAGCTTCACATAGTCCACCACGTACTTCAGGAGCAGGAAGATGGTCTGCACCACCCGCTTGCGCTCATGGCTCTTATCCGATTTCAGCCAGGGTTCTGTGTGCTGGGACAGAGAGCCGAGAGCCCAAGGGACCCATCAACCAGGTGGACCCACCCTCGCCACCCAGCTCAGACCTGGTCCTGGGTGCGGCCACTTGGTCAGGGGTGATGGGAGGGTTGGCTGTAGCGGTCCTGCCCCGCCAGACCCTTCACCCTTCTCTGCCCATCCATCAGCCTGCTCCCTCGAGTGAGGCTGGGTCTGGGGCCGCATAACAGCCTCCAGTGATCCAGAAAGCCCTGGGCTCATGGGAGCTCTGGAGGCGGCCCGGTGCCCCACAGCGCTCTGGGTTTGCATCAGTGGCCTTGGCCTGTGGTGGCTGTGGGGACGGGTGGGGCACTGGAAGGAGTGCATCTGGAGTGCGTCTCCAGGCTGCGTGAGATCTCGCAGAGCATGCCCGAGGCTGACCCTCCCTGACCCCCAGGACACCAGAAGGCAAGGTCAGTGGGTCTCCCTGCTCCCTGCAGGGTCCTTAGCTCTCCTGAAACACCCACCGCAGCCCTTACAAGAGCAGAAGGACCCTGGGCACTTGGGTCGGTGGTGTAGGGCACCTGCCAGCCTGACCCTCTTGGCAGCTCCTTCATGTGAGGGATGCACACTGAGTGGACCCTGGAGCATCCAAGGCGAGCATTGGAGTGGGCACAGGGACCCCTTGATTCTGCACCCCATGCCGCCCCACACCCCTGACCCTCACCTGCAGGAGGAAGCAGATCTCGTCCATGCTCTTGTTCTCAGAGACGAAGTTTTGGAAGAGCAGGTCGAGTGCCTGCATGGACTTCTGATACAGCATCTACGGGACAGATAGCTGCCTGGCGTCACACGGCCGGGGTGGGCTTGCCAGCCCCGTGGCCCTGCCTGGCCAACACCCTTGTTCATCCCTTACAAGGCTGTGGGTGAGGGTTCACCTCCCCCCACTTTAGGCCCCGGGCAGATGATGATAACGTCCACCCCCCTAGTGGGTGGGGACACAGTGCCCGCGTGGCTGCCAGACTCTTCAGGTCACGACCGCTAGGGTGTTAGGTCCCAGACTCCGGAAGGGAGCGGAGCCCCATGAGCTGAGACGTCACAATGGGTGCCCTGCCCCCCTGGCCAGAGTCCTCTGACAGTTCCCTTGGCGTTCCTCCCCCCACTCCAGCATCCCACAGGTCTCTGCCGCTGCTCCTCTCCTGCTTGCCTAGAACACTGCTATCCCTCAAGGGCTAGTCCTGCTCTTTCCTTTTCCCCTCTTGGTTCTCCCTGGGAACCTTTTTTGGTGGATGTCCCCGGGTATTCAGAACTCAGAAGGCCCAAAGCCATGCACAGGCCTGCTCTCGCCGTACTCGCCACAGCGGCGGATGACAGACCAGCCAGCACTTGGCACCAGGAGCCACTCGATTGTCGGGTGAATAAGTAAATGCGTTAATATTCTATGGTGCTGCATAAATGCTTGCACAGGGTGGAAAAGACTATGGCGTGCACTCAGTAAATACTGGTTAAATGAAGGCGTCTGGGTTGTTCCTCTGCATGATAGTGTTGTAACCGCCCCTCTGGCCAGCCTAAAGATCAGAGATTTCTCACGTTCACAGGAGGCAGTACACGCCGTAAACGCACATGAGAACGGTAAATACAACCGGCATCCTTTTCGTGACGATTCACTCACCACAGATTCGTTCTCTCCTTCAGTGGGAAATTGCGGAGCACACACTGTACGCCCCTCTGGGGGCGCATCGTGGGAAGCAGGCCTGGCTCCTGACCGGGAGAATCCCCCGGTCCAGTGGGAGAGAGGGAAGAAGAACGAGTTGTAACACTCTAAGAAGAATAAAGATAAACAGCTAAACAAATTCAAGATCATGTGTTGCTATTGAAGTGCCATGGAAAATGAGTCATCAAAGAGATGGTGGAGAGCCACTTCCCTCAGATCCAAGAGTGAGCAAGGGTTCATCACAACCATGCAGATCTGCCCTCTCCTCTTGCTCCCTCCCATGTGTGGAATGTAGTTGGAGGCCAGGCGGCTAGAGCTCGCAGGACAGAGAAGCGGAGAGGAGAGAGATGCAGAGGGAGCTCTGAGATCCGCACAGGACCCTCTTGAGTCTTCAGCCGAGTGCTGGTCAGTGCATGAGTGTGGAAGGCACTCAAGGCTGGAGGAAGAACCACTCAGAGGACTAGAGGGAACAACCTCTGGGAGTCAGTTCCTAGTCACACCAGTCCTTGTAGAAACCCTCCTAATTCACGGGGCACAGGGCAGATTACTCAGGAGGGTCTTGCCTCAATGGGGGGCAAACTTAGTTCCAGAATCAATGCTGCTGTGGCTCCACTAACAAATTCTAAAACCAAGGTCTGGAAAGGATCAAAGTGTTTACAAGTAACTTAACTGTACAACGTAACAAAGCCCAAGACTAATATAATCTAACATAATTATACAGAAATGTCCAGCACCTGACAAATTCTCATTCACCATGCTTGGCCTTCATTCAAATGACATGCAAAGAAACCGGAAAATATGACCCCTACTGAAAGAGAAATATCAATCAATCCAAAGCCAGAAATGACACAGATAATAGAGTTAGTAGACAAAGACATTAAAACAGTTATTGTAACTGTACTTCACGTGTTAATAAGCTAGAGGAAAGATTGAATACATAAGATAGAGACATGGAAGATACAAAAGGTGATCCAGATAGAACTTTCAGAGATGAAACCATAACGTATGAGATAAAAAGTACCTGGAGGGATAAATGGCAGATTAGACTTCCAAGAAGAAAGATTAGTGAGGTTGAAGAAATAACAAAAAATATATATACATATATATATATCCAAAATGAAAACCAGAAAGAAAAAAGAACGAAGAAAATGAACAGAACATCAGTGATCTGTTGGACAACTTCAAGCAACTTCATAATGTGTAACTGGAGTGACAAAAAATATGTGAAGAAATTATGACCCAATTTTTTCCACATTTGATGAAAAGTATAAACCCACAGTTCCAAGAAGGTCAAGAAACCCAAAGCACAGGCAACGTGAAGGAAGTTACACCAAGGCACATCAGGATTGAATTGCTTAAAACCAGTCTTAAAGAGAAAATGTAAAAGATGAGCCAAAAAGATCTGCTCTTAGAGGAACAAGGAGAAGGATGACAGCAGGCTTTCCGATGGGACTCTGCGGATGAGGAGGTGGCAGGGCACGTGTTTAAAGTACTATAGCAATGAAAAAAGAATGTCAATTTAGAATTCTGCACGCAGGGAAATTATCTTTTATAAACAAAAGCTAAATAAAGACTTTTTCAGACACATGAGAGCCAGAGTGCCGGCAGCAGACTCAGAGCGGTTCCAGCACGGCCTCTGGGCAGAGGGCAGTGACGCGGGGTGCACTCGCGTGTCCACACAGAGGCAGGAAAGCCCGGAAATGGTAACTGTGTTGGAGAACACGAGACACCGTTTTCCTTGTTATTTAAATCTTGTTAAGGGGTAACTGGCTGTTCAAAGCAGCACTAATAACACCGATTTGTAACATCTGACGACCGCAGTGAGGCGTGGGGAGGAGTGCGGTGTCCCGCCGGAAGGCTCTCGCGGCATCTGCCGGTGGAGTGTGCTGGTTGAGGCGTCTGCTACAAGCCCTAAACAACCGGTAAAGTGACATAACATGGTTATAGCTAATAAGCAAAAAGGAAGATAAAATGGAATCATAAAAAATTCAGTTAAAATGCGAATTAAAACTACACTAAGATGTCACCATACACCCGTGAGAAAGGCTATAATTACCAAGACAAAAAACAACAAATATCGGAGAAGATGTGGAGAAAAGGGAATCCTCATTCACTGCTGGTAGGAGTGCAAACTGGCACAGCCTCTATGGAAAACAGTATGGAGATTCCTCAAAAAATTAAAAATAGAAATACCTTATGATCCAGCTATCCCACTATTGGGTGTTCATCCAAAGAACCTGAAATCAATGATTCAAAGAGACTTATGCACCCCTATGTTTACTGCAGCATTATTCACTATAGCCAAGACATGGAAGCAATCCAAGTGTCCCTTGACTGATGATTGGATAAAGAAGATGTGGTATATATATACAATGGAATACTACTCAGCCATAAAAAAAGACAAAATTGTCCCATTTGCAACAACATGGACGGAACTTGAGAGTATTATGTTAAGCAAAATAAGTCAGACAGAGAAAGACAAACACTGCATGATTTCACTCATATGTGGAAGATAAACTAACACATGGGCAAAGAGAACAGATTAGTGGTTACCAGAGGGGAAGAGGGTTGGGGGTGGGCATAAGGGGTAAAGGGGCACATATATATGGTGATAGATAAAAATTAGACTATTGTTGGTGAGCACAATGTAGTCTATACAGAAACTGATAAATAATAATGTACACCTGAAATTACACAATGTTATAAACCATTGTGACCTCAATAAAATAATAGAAAAAAAAATTTAGTTAATTCAAAAGGCAACAGACAGGAAAAGAGGAACAAAGACGAGATGGCACAAATAGGAATCATTTGGCCAGTGGGCTGGACCCAACTACTTTAATGCGAGGGCTGACTTCCCCTCCCCAGTGAAAACGCCCAGACTGTCAGATTGGATAGCAGAGCAAGACCCAGCTCCCTACAAAGAACCCACTTTCAACGTAAGCACACAAATAGGCCGAAAGTCAAAGGGTGGCAGGCCCCTGTGCTGACGCTCACGGGAAGACGGCTGGAGGAGACATGCTGGTGTCAGACAAAGGAGATTTCAGAGCAGAGAATGGTACCAGCAATACAGACAGTCATTTCCTATGGTGCTGGAGTTAGTTCATCAGAGGACACGAGAATCCTGAGTGTTTATGGACCTAGTAACAGAGCTGCTAAGTGAAGGAAGCAGTGCCTGACAGAGCTGCAGGAGAAACAGACAGGTCCACGACTGTAGTCCGGGGTCTAGACAGAAACCACGGCCTGTGTGGGAGATATGAGCGGCGCTGTCCGCCAGCCCCACCTGATTCCTACCGGAACAGCAGCAGGCACACTCCCGGTGAGCGAATGCAGGGTGTTTACCGACACAGACCGTATTCTGGCCCAGTAAGTTTAGAAAGATTCATGCTGTGTCAAGTGTTTCCCCTGACAAAAATGGAATTAAATTAGAAACTAATTAACATACTTCTAAATAATCTGTAGATCAAAGAAAAAATCAAAACTGAAATTAGAAAGTATTTTGAACTGAGTGAAAATGAAAACACAACATATCAAAATTGATCATCTCCGTGGATACAGTGAAAGCATCTGACAAAATCCAACATCCATCCTTATAAACACTTTCAGCAAACTAGGAACAGAAGGGAACTCTCTCAGCCTAACAAAGAGCATCTAAAACCCCACACCAGCCACAGTTAGCAGCGTCCTTGGTGGTGGAGACAGGTGCGTCCCCATCAGATCAGGAACAAGACGAGGATGTCCACCCTCGCCACTGCGAGTCAGCATCGTGCTAGAGGTTCTAGCAAGTGCAGCAAGGTGAGAATGAGGTAGAAAAGGCATCCTGATGGAAAGGAAGAAGGAAACTGTCTGTATTCACAGAAATCGTGTAGAAGGTCACTGGCAATCTACAAAAAGCTAGTGAGTTTCGCAAGGTTGCAGATACAAGATCGATATACAAAAATCAGTTATATTCGTATATACCAGCGATGAAAATTGGAAATTAAAAATTTTAAATATCATAAAAAATATGAAATACGTGGGAAAGAATCTGACAAAAGATGTGCAAGACACATACACAGAGAACTTTGAAGCATTGCCGAAAGGAATTAAAGACGACCCAATTTAGGGGACACGTAGGTTAAGTCCATAGATTACAAGACAAAACAATGTTAAGATGTTGATTAGCCCCAAATTGATCAATAGATTCAATGGAATCCTGGTGAAAATCCCAGTGTGCTGCTTAGTAGACCTTGATCAGCTGATTCTATAATTCATATGGAAATGCAAGGAACAGCAGAGACAGCTCTGGAAAAGATGAACAAAGTTGGAGGACTTCTACCACTTGACTTCAAGACTTACAAGGCTGCCGTAAGCGAGGCAATGTGGCATTGGCATCAAGACAGAGAAAGGGGTCAGTGGACCAGAATAAAGAGACCAGAAATGGAAGCAGGTATATGTCAACTTTTGGCATATATCTGGTTTTTGACAGATAATTCAATAGAGGACGGATGGTCTTTTCAACAAATGGTTCTGGAACAACAAGGTATCCATACGCAAAAAATTAAACTTCAGTCCATACCATGTACCATACAAAAATTAATTCAAAACAGATCATGGACCTAAGTGTAAAACCTAAAACTATAAAAATTCTAGAAGAAAACATAGGAGAAAATCTTTGTGACCTCAAGTTAAGCAAAGATTTCCTTGATACAATACCAAAAACATGACCATACAAGAAGTAATAGATAATCAAACTTCCTCAAAATTAAGAACTTCTGCTCTTCAGGAGAGACTATTAAGAGAATAAAAAGACAAACTATTAATCGGGAGAAAATATTTTCAAATCACATCTCTGATAAAGGGCTCACATTGAGACTATAAGAGGAACTCTAAAAACTACTTAATAACCAAACAAATAAGGCAGTTTAAAAATTAGGCATAAGATGCTGGCCTGGTGGCGTAGTGGTTAAGTTCACACGCTCTGTTTTGGCAGCCTGGGGTTCATGGGTTCGAATCCTGGGTGTGGACCCACTCACTGCTCATCAAGCCATGCTGTGGCGGCATCCCACATACAAAATAAAGGAATATTGGCACAGATGTTAGCTCAGAGACAATCTTCCTCACCAAAAAAAAAAAAAAAAAAAAAAAATTAGGCATAAGATTTGAATAGCTATCTCACCAAAGAAGATATAAAGATGGTAAAAAGCACATGAAAACATGCTCCACACCTTAGTCAATAAGGAAATGAAAATTTAAACCACAACAAGGTTCTGCTACACACCCATTAGAATGGCTGAAATTTAACAGACTGACTGTACCACGTGTTGACAAGTACGTGGAGCCACCGGAATTCACACACTGCTGGTGGGAATGCACAATGGTACAGCTAGTTTGGAGGATGGTTTGGCAATTTGTTAAAAAGTTAAACACACACCTACCTTATGATCCAGCCATTCCACAGCTAAGTATTTACCCAACGAAAATCAAAGCCTGTGTCTGTACAAAGACCTGTAGACAAATGCTCACGGCAGCTTTGTATTCGCCCAAAACTGGAAACAGCCCAAATGCCCGTCATCCAGTGGGTAGATCAACAGATGGTAGTAAGTCCATAAAATCAAATACTACTCAGCAATAAAAAGGAAAGAACTATTGATACAAGCTACAATGTAGATGAATCTCAACATTACTAGGCTGGGTAAAAAGAATCCAGACAAGGATAAGTATATACCGTAGGATTCCATCTATATAAAATTCTAGAAAATGCAAACGAATCTATAGTGATAGCAATCAGATAGTGGTCTCAGTGGAGAGGGGTAAGAAGGAGGGATTCCACATGGCACAAGGAAGCTTTTGGGGGTAATGGATTTGCTCATTATCTTGATTTTTGTGATAGTTTCAGTTACAGATCAAAAAGTGTAAAATTATGCCCTTCTAATACACACGGTTTTTTGAATGCCAATTATACCTCAGTTGTTAAATCTGTTAAAAAACCAAAGCCCAGCTCCTGCCCAGTGTCACTTCCTGTGGCCCCTCCTCTGCATCCCTGAGACAGCTACCCCTCCCTCCTGGGACTGGGCTCCAGTTAGACACGCGTGGTGGTGGGCATGGGTGCTGGCCCAGGCCCTCTCTTCAGGGTCCAGGCACCCACTCCCAGCTGCTGACGGCTCAGGACTTGCCCTCCAAAGTTACACCCCCTTACGAGGCGGTCCACGGCCAGTGAGTGGCCAGTGCAGTGGCTGGATGACGTCCCAATTGAGCGTCCCCACCACCAGAGCTCCTTGTAGGATTGGCTGAGCACTCCCGTGCAACTACACAGAGGTCCACTTCTCCGTGACCTCACCCTGCCTTCTAACCTTCGTGCAAGGCCTCGCCCGAGAGTGCACCCCAATAAACCATGCACACACGACTCCCAGCTCACAGTCTGCACCCCGGGAGCCCAGACTGAGACGCACAGCGCAGGTCCCTGCCGTGGCTTGTCTCCATGCCATTGCCTGCTAACGGGGGCTCCTGGGAGTGGGGATCAGAGCAGGGTTTAGAGCCTGCTCTGCTTTGTTTTCATGGAACTGAACCTCAGACCTCAAAGAAGAGTGAGGCCAATGCCGGCACCTTCCCTCTTGGACGGCTCCCTCCAGCCTGCCTGTCAGTGCCTGGCAGAGGCAGGTCCCCAGGACTCTTTCCTGTTCCTCGCAGACAGAGGGCACGCTGGCTGCAACCCTGGGCAGAGCTTTGTGACTCACTCAGGCGATGGCACATGGGTGGGTTTGGGTACGCTGAGCCCCAGTGGGAGCGTTTGGAGGCACGACGCCTCCGCCAGCCCCTGGGAGGAGGGCGCGTGTTCGGGTAAGGTGGGGTTCCCAGGTTGGGAGGAGACACCACGTGGGGCGGGCCCACAGCCCAGGGTAAGGGAAGACCTGGGCCCAACCCTGGCCAGATTGGAGCCGCCCTGCCTGTGCACCCAGGAACAAGAACACACGCTCGTTGCTGCAAGCTCTGCACACAGGCCGTGTCACTGAGCAGAAGCTGACGAACAAGCAGTCGTGAGCACGCACGTCTTGGAGAGCACCTTTGCTCCGTTATCCATCTGAACCTCACCAAACGCTAGTGAGCAGCACGGGGACCAGAGCTCTGTTTGAGGGGCAGACCCCAGAGACCCCGGGTGTTGCCAAGGTCAGAGCAGACCCGCGGTGAAGCCAGGATGAGGCCCGAGCTGGACCGGAGCTCTCTCCCTTCTCTGCTCCCCTCACTCACACACATGGCAAGGGCTTGACAAACCGACCCAGCACCCCGAACCCAGCACCCAGGAAGACAGGAGATGGCCGCAGGAACAGGGGGTCACCATGACGTCCGGGGCCCGCTCCAGCGGAGGTAACTTGCGCTTCAACGTCTCCATGGGGGGCAGCGCGTACAGGCTCTGCAGGCAGGTCTGCAGGATCCTGGACTTGACCATGGGTGTGAGACTGGGCCGCAGGTTGCTAGAAGAAACACAGAGAAGATTCTGGACTCCTTTGCACAGCCCATGGTCCTCGGAATGAAAGACCTGGCTGAAACGGGTCCCAGGCAGGGAGAGGCCTACACAATTAGGAATGCGGAATTGGGTCTGGGTGACAAACAGGCCTCAGACCCCGGCTTGGGTGGGGGTGGTGGTGGGGGTGCAGCTGGGGAAGACGGAGCTCATTTGGACCAGGAGGGGCCATCCCAGCTCACTCACTTCTCGGGTTCCTTGACATTTATTTGTGAGAAAACTTAGGGATTATTCTGGGGTCAGTGTCAGTGCTGTAAACGGGATCAGGGGTCAACCTGTGGAAGAGGTCAGGGTGTAGTCTGTGAGCAGGGTCAGGGCTCAGTGTATGACCAGGGTCAGGGCTCAGAGTGTGACCAGGGTCAGGGTTCAGAGTGTGACCAGGGTCAGGGCTCAGTGTGTGACCAGGGTCAGGGCTCAGTCTATGCCAGTGTTAATGACCTATCTTGGATGAGAGACAAGGCAATCTTACTGTCCCTGGTAGAATGTGGCCCCTGGCCTCTGCTTGCCCGGCACTGTTTTAGTCCCTCGTGCCAGCCCCACCCCCTCTGGCCCCTATCCACATTCTCTCATCTCCTCGCACACTGACCGCCACCCTATATTCCAAGGACCTAGCCTGTGTTTGCTCCTGGACCTCAGGGGGAGTCACCTCAGTCCCACGATGACCAGTATGACCTTCTGCCGCAAGAGGGTGGCCAGGAAGTTGGGCTCGTTCTGAAGGATGCGCTGGGAGGGCAGACAGGAGTCAGCATGGCGGTGGCATCTGGCCTGGCCCTTTGAAGCTCCTCGCCCCCGGCAGTGCCTGCGAGCACCTGCTGGGCAGAGCCCCTCGGGTCACTCACCAGGAGACACTGGATGAGCTCTGAGATCTGAGTGAATTTGTAGCTCTGGGCACCATTCTCCCGCTGGAGAGCTTTCATGAGCATGATGGCCGCCGAAAGGAAGCTCGTTTTCAGGATATTGTCCTGTGCATGCACAGATGGCCATAGGGGCAGAGTCAGGGGAGAGTCAACAGGTGGTCCAGATATCCTGCCACACAGCCTGAGGGCCCACCTGATCAGGGGCAGTGCATACACACACACACATAACATCCACACAGAACATACACACAGCACATCTACACACACACAGCACATCCACATCTACACAACATCCACACATGTCACACACACAGCCTACCCTCATACACACAGAACTTGCAAATGCCCAACACACATGAACAAGGCATACTCCTATACATACATAATAAGCATGACACATACAACTTTGACAGCTCACACAAGATACAACATACAGCATGCACCTACACACATACAAACATCATACATAGCACACACAACACATAGGCAACATACACGTCTCACATAAAACATACATACAATACACACCCTTGTACACACACTGGCTGGCTTAAAAGGCCAGACGCCCTCAATGGGGAAGTCTGTGCTGACCCGTCCTTCACATTCACTCGGGCTTGTTGGGTCCAGTGACATTTGTGTGAGAAAGAGTGTGACCAGGGTCAGGGCTCAGTGTGTAACCAGGGTCAGGGCTCAGTGTGTGACCAGGGTCAGCTCAGTGTGTGACCAGGGTCAGGGCTCAGTGTGTGACCAGGGTCAGG